GTTTATCGTGAGTTTTTCATGGATACCATGTAGATGGTTGTAGCTATTCCCTTGTGTTTTGGGAGTTTTGTACATCACTTGTGGCTCGCTCTGTTGTGCAAGATTCATACAAACACCGACGAATACTGGGTCGATGTTATAACAAGTGCCTATGGGGAAAGGCCCGCATGGGCAGCGCCTATCACTTTAACTTACTGATGTATTTTTTGGCACTTCGCATAGGCACACGACGCTTACCTGTCATATCTTTTTGGGTTTTACCCACTATACTCCCAAAGATGAAAGTCGTGGCAATTGTATACTTGTTTGCCAAGCTTGCGTCCCTTTGTCTCCCCTCTGTCTCCCCTCTGTCTCCCTTACTCGCCCTTTGTCTCCTCTTCTCTCTCCTTGCTCTTGCCTGCAGCTGCTGCTTGGCTTGGTTTCCTCTTCTGCTCCACCGCTGAAAGCTCTTGAGTTTAACTGTTCTGAAAAGAATGCGGAAGCGTGTGGCTACCAAAGAGTTTGTCAGGAGACTTAGGGGGTCAGTCTCCCAAAATCTGATTTCGGACCTCGTTTGGACCTCGTTTGCACCTCGTTCGGACCTCGTTAAAATTGCAGCCAGTCAAAACCCAGCCCGGAGAGGTTTTGGAAAGGCTTTGCAATGGTCTGCTGCTGCTGCTGCTGTTGTTGTTGTTGCTTGTGTTGCTGCTTCTGGGCAAGGCGCGGTTTTTGGGCAGAGAAGCAAGAGATTTTGTCTGGCGTAAGCGGTGTGCCAGGGCAGAGAACGTGGATGAGATTTCCAACTGTACATTCACTTAGCAACATTCGAATCCCGAAGTCTTCCATTTCTTATCAAATTCCTTTAGGAAAGCCACCAGAAACATTCCTTCAGATTATTATTCAGACATATTTGAGATTCATGTGTGGAGACGCGTCCTGATGGGGATTTGGAAAATTTGGTCTATATTTTTAAGATTATGGGACATAACTGTGCACACGCGTCCTGATGGGGATTTTGAAAATTTGGCAATAGAAAAGTGCACTGCCAGGGATCTAAAAGTAACACTTCTACATAGTGCGTCCCATGCAGTTTTAGACCTGGTTGCATTGACTTGTTTGACTTCCTGAATGCGCGGCGTCCCATGCAGTTTTTACCTTGGTTCCACATATGCACTGACTTTCACGTCCGGGTGTACACATGGCACTGGGTGGCGCGCTTGGACTGGGTTTAGGCGCGCGTGACGCCCGTGACGCCGCGCCACTTCTGCGTGGCAGGCGTGGCACTTGGTGACATCCACCTTCGTTTCACGTGGCAGGCGGGGCACAACCTCACATCTACCGTCGTTTTGCGTGGCAGGCGTGGTACACATGGCACTGGGTGGCGCGCTTGGACTGGGTTTAGGCGCGCGTGACGCCCGTGACGCCGCGCCACTTCTGCGTGGCAGGCGTGGCACTTACACACATCCACCTTCGTTTCACGTGGCAGGCGTGGCACAACCTCACATCTACCGTCGTTTTGCGTGGCAGGCGTGGTACACATGGCACTGGGTGGCGGGCTTGGACTGGTTTAGGCGCGCGTGACGCCCGTGACGCCGCGCCACTTCTGCGTGGCAGGCGTGGCACAAACACACATCCACCTTCGTTTCACGTGGCAGGCGTGGCACAACCTCACATCTACCGTCGTTTTGCGTGGCAGGCGTGGTACACATGGCACTGGGTGGCGCGCTTGGACTTGGTTTAGGCGCGCGTGACGCCCGTGACGCCGCGGCCACTTCTGCGTGGCAGGCGTGGCAACAAACACACATCCACCTTCGTTTCACGTGGCAGGCGTGGCACAACCTCACAGCTACCGTCGTTTTGCGTGGCAGGCGTGGGTACCAACAACTGCAGGCTGCGCTGTGGATCTCTACCAAAGAACTATATATTTTACTTTGTGGTTTCGTCTTGAACCTTTTTCTGTGCTGCCAGGTGTTGCTTGTCAATGGTGAAGTAATGCGCAGGCCGGGAGCTGCACTTGCGGCGTAGTGTGGACCATCTATACGGTTGATCAATAAGATATCTACTGTGGTTAAGCTATGTAGAATAGATTGGTTCTTGGGGTTCATGCTGTGCCGAGCTATTGCAGCTGTCATGTAGTAACAAGATAGCACGCATGAAGCCTCTGTGTCTTTGCAACTGCCGCAGGTGCCCTTCCAGTGAGCTTCTTGGACGGAGGACAGGCGCGTGTCTCACGGCCCGACAATGAGTCAAGCAATCTATGACGTCGGGAGCCAGAGCTTTGACCCAATGTGGGAAGAAGCGTATGCAGATGCGTGGCGAACCGACACTTATGTGGAAAAAATCGCGACGCCTGTGTGTTTCTGAACTGTGCGGTTGCTTGACATCTTTGGAAAAACCTGCACAGTTAGTGTCATGGTGTTTGCCTGTGACTGTGACTGTGTCGTGTCTTCCATAGTTGCATTGACAACCAGCTACATTCGTGTTCAACACTTCTGCGGCCAGGTACCTTTCCTCTATGTCATCATCGTCGGATGCATACATACATGCATACATGCATGCATGCATACATACCTACATACATACATACATACATACATACATACACGATCTTTCACCACCTCCTTTGTCTTTCCTTCCTTCCCTGTCCCCGCTGAAACTGTTCAAGCTCATTTTAGGAAGAAGTTGACTTGTGGGGTTATCCTGTCCTTTAATTTGTATGGCCCAAAATTGAAGATTAAATCTGTTTGTTTAATACTCTATCGCTTCCAAACCTGCTCATATTGTAATTATCTCAATAGTTCCAAATATGTCCAGCGAGAACTCCATTCTAGACCAGGCAGCTCCGGGCCACGTAAAGGTCTGGATGGGTTGAGGGTGTGTTCGCTCGACGTTGCGTTTACGACCGGAACCGTTCGCAACCGTTCGTAACCGCCCACGCGAGGTCGCTATTGCCGTGCCTATGGTAGGTTCTGCAAAAAGGGGTCACTTTTGGAGGTTTCACATGTCGCGTAGCCTCGTTTCGCGTGGCAGACGTGGCACTTCGTGACATTCAGACGTGCTTCATAACGTGTCGAAAGTCGTTTGCGTGGCAGGCGCAATACTTTTGCGTCGTTTTCAGAAGATGCGTTCCAGTTTTCGTGGCAGGCGCAGCACTTTGGATGTGTCCATCTTCATTTTGCGGGGCAGGCGCAGCACTTCAGACGTGTCGTGTTGCGTGTTTTCTGCGAATCGCATTGTCAGGGCTGCCTCAAGTGGTGACAAGGTGCAAATTCCGTGGCAGGCGTGGCATTTTGTGAGAGGTGCTGAAAATTGACGGAAGCCTCGCACGAAACATCGATTTTGAAGCTACGAAGTGCGAAAATTGGAGGAAATCTTGCACGAAATGCTCATTTTGATGCTCCAACATGTCTCGTCTCGAGTCTCTGGTTTTCCTGTGGCCTCGCAGTGTCTATGTGGGAAGCTGCAAAACCTATCCTGCTTCAAGGTTTCAAAGCCAGTTGTAACGTGGCTTTGAGTGGCATGCGTGGCAGTTCGTGACATTCTCATGTGTCTGCAAACATGTCGAAAGTCATCTTGTGTGGCACGTGCAATAGTACTTTTGCGTGCTCTACACTCTACACTCTAAACTCCACGCACTACACTCCGCACTCCACGCACCACACTCCCACTCTACACTTTACACTTTGCACTCCACACTTTACACTTTACACTCCATACTTTACACTCCACACTTTACACTCCACACTCCACACTACACTTTACACTTCGCACTCCACACTTTACACTCCACACTCCGCACTCTACACTCCACACTCCACACTTTACACTTTGCACTCTACACTTTGCACTTCACACTCTACTCCACACTACACACTCTATACTTTACACTCCGCACTCCACACTTTACACTTTACACTCCACACTTTACACCTTACACTCCACACTTTACACCTTACACTCCACACTTTACTTGCACTATACACTCTACACTTTACACTCCACACTTTACACTCTACACTTTATACTTCACACTTTACACTCCACACTCTACACTCCACACTTTACACTCCACACCCCACACTTTACACTTTAAACTTTACACTCCACACTTCACACTTTACTTTACACTCCACACTCTACTCCACAGTTTACACTTTACACTCCACACTCCACATTTTGCACTCGACCCTCTTCCGCATTCCACAGTCTAGTGGTACAGTAACAGGGGAAATATGTACAAAAATGTTCAAATAATTTGTTTCACAAAAGTGTTCTACGTGACTGCATTCGGGTTCGTGGGTTGCATCTTGTTTTTTTTGCCAAATGTCCTTCTTGCACTTTGACTGTCACAAAGGTGTTCATAGGTTTCTAAGTGTTTTGGCCTTCAGGTTTGCATGATATCGCACTATATTCGCACAGTTTCCAAGTACTGAGGCTGACAGGCCATGCTGTCCTTTGGATTCTGCCTATTGGTTTCCACTGCCCATCCCCACTTCAATCGACTGTCCGAAATTCTTGTCAATATCTCATTGGCTGCCGGCTGTTTGAACCGCCTTTGTACTCCATCCAATCTTCAAATCTGTTTGTTTTGTTGTTCTGTATTTGGGTGTCCTCTGGTGTCCTATTCACTTCCTTCGGTTTGAGCCGCGTGGCAGGTTGGTCAGATGGAAAAGAAGACTCCCCGCTCGGAAACAAGAAGTGTTGCAATGCGGGAGAACCCCTTTCCAGTCAAGGCATCGCATTGACATTGCAATTGAAACTGAATAGAAAATGGTCACCATGGCAGCCACCATCTTGGTTTGCACGTGTATGTGTTTGTGTGTGTTTGTGCATGTGCGATTGTGGACGGCACCCTGTGATCTATTTTGTCAATGCCTGCTGTCATTCTGGGCATGAGCTTGGTGGCTCATATGGATTTGACAGATTTTGACACCCCGCCAGGGAGGATTTTCAAACTGGTTTGAACAAATGCCTGTGTCTTCAGACATCTCGGAGTTATATCATTTGCCTTAACCACTCGTACATTTCTACACCTGGCAGATGTACGTGTAAGAGCAATGCTTGGCAAGGAGACAACAAACACATACAAATACTCCAAGAGATCAGTATGTTACTGATTTCAATTCAACGCATTTGTGAGAGCGATGGTTTCAACGTGTTTCAATGGATCCGTCATTTCATTTGCTCACAGTCTTGAGATTGCGGGAAGCCGCAGACGTTGACTCATCTGATGATTTTCTGATTTATTTTATATTATTTTATTGTTATTTTATTATGATGTGTCAAACATTGTCAAACCTCATGTGCAGGTCATCGAACCCGGATTGCAGCTGGATATTGAAGAATCTCAAACCTCCAACAAGGATCTTGCCAGACATTTGTTCACGCTTTTCAGTGCGCTCTCTTTCAGTGTTTGTTGCAATTTGATGTAACATGATGTAACCGCAGGAAGATTACGACCGAATTCTTCAAAATGTTGCAGGCTGGTGGATCAGGGGTGTCATATTGCGCCAAATATTTGTTGGATCAAACGATTTTTCCATGTTTCATCCACGAATGATTTGTGCAAGGTTTGCCGAATGTTTCCTAAACATGGAAAGTCCAGCATGCGGAAATTTGAGCCATTACAGTACCACCATTACTATCCACTACTGCCGTTGTGGCCCGGATAACTATGGGTTTGTACTATCCAGTGTGACACTGGATTTCCTGTCAAGACACTCCGAGAAATCCTTCAAAAGCATCGAACAGATTCCAAAAGCACGTTTTGACAGTTTTGACAGTCTCGTAGTCGGGAGCTGTAAACTAGAAATATAGTTTAAACCCTCAGACTATTCCGGTACTGGGAGAAGTCGATTCTTTTTCATCGAAGGTTAACGAACACTTTGTCTTCAGATGTTGTATGATTTTGTTGCAAGGTTCAGTCTTTTCATGTCCTTCCGAATTTGCATATCGTGGCACCACATGATATAGTTAGTTATATAATATAGTTGAGACAGCTTGAGGAGCGACTATACATCAGAGTCTGTTCACGCTGGTTGGGTATGTTGTTCTTTGACATCTCCTGTATTGCCCCCATATATTGTGTGTATACAGCATATTGCTGCTAGCTACAGAGATCCTTGCATAGAATGAAGGAGGGGGCTCAAAGCCTCAAAGTGGTTAGTGTCCGGCTTGTGTCGCAGCTTGTGGTGGCCGAAGTTCGGGCTTTGATGCTTTTCTCCCAGCCTTTTTCTCATGTGGATCTTGTGGTGGCTGTAAGTTTTTGCCTGGAGCTGTTTTGTTTGCTATATAGCTTGTAGCATTGTGGTGTGAAGTCTGCGTGAAGAGCACCCACCACCGTTGATGGAAAAAACTAAATTGCCCTTTGTGCCAACTCTGCTGACACTGATTGGTGACTTAGTGTATCTTGGTCAATCTTGGTGTTATGATGTGTTATGATGTGTTATGTGTTTTGTGATGTTGTGTATTTGTTTTGTTTGTTCCAGTGATGCAGCCTAGAACTTGCCAGGATTTGAGCCTTCGCATATGCCGGAGCCCGGTGATGTCAGGACGTCCCAGGCCGGATTCGTGTCACAAAGCTTTCACATGTTCAAAATCTGATACAGTACTTGTTAGTTACTTGTTTATATAATCGTATTTAATCTTGTTTAATCTTGTTTAATGTTGTTTGTAGTTTTGTCCTGAATCTTTGTTTTCAGCTTCAACTTGTCACAGAAACTCGGAGGAGAACTTTCGCAAGTTCAATTGCCGCTTGCGGGCAGAGATGGCCCTGGCGATGTGGTATCAGGCCCTCACACCGATGACTTGAATGATGACTTGAATGATGACACACGCTGTCCAAAAGTGAACAAAAAGCTCTAGCGACTCTAGCGGTTTTGTATGGCGGAAGATAGCAGAAACGTAAACAAAAAAAAACAGTTTTTGGATGGGACTCATGGAGATCCTGCCCATGTTCACCCCAGTCCAAGATATTCCAAGATCCAAGAAGAATTTTTGCAGCTTTTGGATAAAGTTGGATAAAGTTGGATAATCTATGATAATCTGCTGTTCCCTGTTACTCTTTCTGTTTGCATTTTTTTGCTCTGATTTGTGAGATGCCTTGCTGCTGGTAGAGTTTGTGCAGGTTGTTCAGCAAAGCCTTCCAGACCCAAAGCGGTTGGCTCGTGCAATACTGGCAGATGATAGCAGAACAACCTTGAACAAGAACTTTTCACATTCAAAGTGCCGCGTTTGCAGTTGAGCTGCAACATGCTGCGATAGGATCAGCAAATTGTACACTGATTGCATTTGACTACGATTAATTACAACTGTTTGGGGAATATGACAAGGTGACTTCATTCTCACGACTTGTCAAAATGAAGACATTTGCGCCGTGAGACATGAGACATGGCATGTCAGCTACTGGTACGTACTATGTACTGTAGTTGGAAAGCAGAAGCAGAAGTGTCAACCATTCGCATGGCCCCAAGCAAGTCATTAAACCCCTTTGGTCAGTGAAGACACGCATGGACAAGATTCCTTTGCCCACCTGAACCGCAGCCCCCTAGATTCAGCGACTACCATTTGGCACAGCTTGCAGCCGCACTCCCAAGCAACCTTCGGCATTTGCAACTCTCGTTTTGGAACCTTGTCACCGGGAAGTCCGAAAGGAGGAAGCTTCATTGTTTGAACACCAAGTTTTAGAGATTCTGAGCTCCTGAACGCGTTTGTTTGAATATCGAAATGATATGAAATGATATGAAATGATATGAAATGATATGAAATGATATGAAATGATGTTGTATTTGCGGAATCTTAGACTAGGTGACCAGATTCGCTGACTCTGTGGAGTGCGGAGTTGTCATACAGAGAGGTGAAAATGTAAGAAACATCTGAATAAGAAAGAGGAAGAGTTCGTCAAGGAATTGCAAGTGGAACCGGAAGGGGATAGCTGCAAGATGCTGCAAGTGTGTTGTGGTTGTGTTAGTATTGTCATTAGGACATCTTTGGGAACAATATTTCTGTATATTTCTGAATGACCTTCTCAAGGATAGTGAGTGTCGAGTCCCCAAGCTGACTGGGGAAGAGATGGGCGGCGTGTGCAGTAGTTCTAATTTTGCTTCTAAAGAGTTTCGAGTCAAGGAGTGTTGAGATTAGTGAGACAGATTCATCATCTAGCAAGGTTGTTGAGGAATGTAATCAATCTAGTTTATTGCTTTCGTGGAGCCCCCCCAAAGATCAGCCAGGGTCAGGTTGCACAAGTATACTATACAATTCTATGATATGCTAACATGTGTTGACTATACTCTGAACCTTGTATTTCATTTGCCGGTCATACTGTCGAATACTGTACCTGATCAATCCTAAACCATTTATCCCAAGCACATTGTTTGAGCGCGGATCCAGAAGCAAAACCTAATTGATAAGACGCGAGTTGTGACATGTTGTGACACCCTACAGATCCCTAAAGGATCTAAAGGTACAGTATCCAAATTTATCTATATAAAAGCTTCTGAGGTGACCGGGGGGTCTCAACTCTTTCTGATTTTCTTCAGCCGTTGACACATGAGGTGTGGCCAAATCGGCACTCCAGGAATCCGAGCCCTTTCAAAGAGTCTCTCACAACTCAAGCATTTGGAGACCTTGATGCTGGATTGCCAGATGTGTTCACAGATTGGTCAAACAGGCCACCAAGCTGCAGAACAAAGATGTCGCTAATTCATGTTGAAATGACTTGTGACTTCACAAGATCAACAAGTACGAACCTTGATGTGCTCACTAAAAGTTGAGTTGTGAGTGACAGTGCACGGATTAAAAAAATCGGATCTAATCTAATTGGGCTTTGTGAATTCTTTCTAAACGTATTCCTTGTATTTCCTTGTGCTATGTCAATAAACGCAAGAGGACCGCAACTTGCTCGCTAATCGGCGTGCACAAGTACATCTCTCGAATTCTCACTCATATTTGATGATATTTGATGCAAATGCTGCCATCTATCTTTATTTGATGGTCAAAATTGATGTAGACGTTGAAGCCAGTTCATGACATGCTCGACATGATCCTCATCCCATGTTGCTCTCAAGAGTCTTAAGACAGTCAGCATGCATGTGTCCGAGAATGTCCATGCCCCATCCGCTACTGTACCCTCATGCAATGCAGTCGAGATCCATTTGGAGACTTGATTGGTGTATGCAGGTTTACAGTATATATATATCAATATATATCAATATGCAGTGTCAATTTGTGTTGCTCAACAATGATTCTGATCGATTCTGCCGCAGGTGTAGATGCTCTTGGCTTGTGCTTGCCGGCAACAATAACAGTCCTTCGATTGTGTCCTGGCAAGAACTGATTTGGCGAGACGAAGCAAACACCCTTAAATTTGAGCACTGAGTATCAATGAGCAATGAAATTCAATGAAATTCAATGTTCAAGACTTTTTGAACTGATGCGACAGGAACTTTCACGCAGCGAATCTCCGCAACATCAATGGTTTGGCGAAGGGCATTTCAAATTTGAAGAATTTACGCGCTCTCAGCATCGATGTTGGAGGAGCGGAAAAACTATCAAACATCCCTTTGCATTGAGTCAACTTTGCCGCTGTGCAACCGAAGCCAGCATCAATCAGAATCACTTTCGAGTAGCCAATTGTTGCTATATGTTGCTATCTCATCAGCGGCAGAGACCCTTGTCATCCGGTGTCAAGATTGAGAGAAGATTTCAGCTGGGTAGAGTCAGAGTTGAATCCCAAGACAGCCGAGACGGCCAGGCATCGAGAATATGGATCACAGGCAAGTGGGCACGCTTGCAGAGAGCTTTCCGCCGCGCTTGATGAATCTACATCTTGGACTGAGGCCGCCTTGGCACATCCTAGGACATCTTAGCACATCTTGGCACATCTTGGCACATCCTGGGATACTTTTTCTTCAGGGTTTTGATGGTTTTGCATCCTTCCTAATTAGTGAGATCTGTGTGCGTGCGCACGCTCTTTTCATGGTTGTTTTTTCATGTTTTTTCCTTCAGTCAACAAAGACAAAGACCATGAAATTGTTCGCCAAGTTAGCCAACAGCATTTGTGCCCTGTATCCAGTTGTGAATCTGCAAGAAAAAGGTAATTCGATGATATTCGATGTACGTATCTTTTCTTTCCCAGTTGATCACGTTTCATACTCGCTGAGAAGACATCGGCCAAGATCAGCTATGTCAAACCTGCATACTGGATCTCAATTCCAATAAAGTGTAGCTAAGCTGTCAGGCTATTAACTCTTGTGTCAGACTGAAGAACCTGCGAGAGACATCGAGAGACTGTGGTCCAGTTTGTTGCACTTTCACAAGAGTTGTGGTGCGACACCTTGACGTTCAGGGGCTGCCCGTATTTCACAAGCTCTGGAGTGCAATTGCTAGTCGCAACCTTAGCCAGTCGTGTCCAAGATTTGGAGACTTGAAATCAAAAGGCCAAACCGCTAAGCCTTGAGGAGTGATTTGTTGAGTGAAACTGTTGAAACCTGCTCAGGTATTGAGCCTTCCTGCAGAAATGTCAATGCTTTCTTTGAACTTCAGCGTATGCTTCATGGCAGCAATGTAAAACGGTTGACGCTGCGGCGAACTCACCAAGTCTGCCTTCTTACCTAATCTTGCGACTCGTACAAGTCTAGCCTAGCCTGAGGAATCCTGAGGACTGCATATTTTTTTAGTGTAATGAACTTAACTGGAGAAAGTGTTTGCGAGCGCTTGCAACATCTTGCATGTGTTGACATTTGCAATCTGTACATGGATACAATTCAGAGTTCAGGCTATTTCTCATAGAAATCTCGGAACCTCATAGGTCCCTGGAACATCTGGAACTTGAACCCTCAGCCTTCAAGGCGATCAGATCAACAACGATGCCGTCAGATGGCTGGCTTTCAAAATGCCATGCTTGCTGAAGGCTCCCAGTGCCACGTTCACCAGTGTAATGGCCGATATAGAATTCTACTTTTTGAAGTGAAACGATTATATATTATGTATATATAATTATATATAATGATATATATATATATTATACAGTAGTATATATTTATTTATTTATACATACATATAAGCTAAATGCTACCAGTACCGCACAAGGCGGTGGCGGAAGTTTCAAAAATAGGAAACCTATGGGAGAGGTTGGTTGTTGTGAATCACGGATGGCAGAGCGAAGCCACTGACTCCATCTATTTCTCTAGCTGTCTCTCTGACTATTTATCTATTTGTCTGTCTGTCCATCTATCTATGTCTCTATCTGTCTGTCTATCTATCTATCTATCTGTCTATCTATCGATCTATCTATCTATCTATCTATTTATCTATCTGTCTGTCTATCTATCTATCTGTCTGTCTGTCTGTCTACCTGTCTATCTGTGGTGCAGCGTCATTCAGTGTAATGTAGTGTAGTGCAATGTAGTGTGGTGTAGTGGAGTGTAGCGGAATGTAGTGTAGTGTAGTGTAATGTAGTGTGGTGTAGTGTTGTTCAGTGTAGTGGAGTGTACTGGAGTGTAGTGTAGTGTAATGTAGTGTACTGGAGTGTAGTGTAGTGTAATGTAGTGTAGTGAAGCGAAGCGACATCTGAACTTCCAAAAGTGGTCCGACCATGGTGTGTTTTGTACATTTTGACTTCCAAATGTACTTCGCGCCACAACGGCGTGCACTTTTTCGACATCTGAACTTCCAAAAGTGGTCCGAACCCCCTAGTGCTTTTAACATTTTGACTTCCAAATGTGCTTCGCGCCACAACGGCGTGCACTTTTTCGACATCTGAACTTCCAAAAGTGGTCCCAACCTGGTGTGTTTTGTACATTTGACTTCAAAATGTGCTTCGCGCCACAACGGCGTGCACTTTTTCGACATCTCAACTTCCAAAAGTGCTCCGACCATGGTGTGCTTTGTACATTTTGACTTCGAAATGTGCTTCGCGCCACAACGGCGTGCACTTTTTCAACATCTCAACTGGCAAAAGTGGTCCGCACCTGGTGTGTTTTGTACATTTTGACTTGGAAATGTGCTTCGTCACAACGGCGTGCAATTTTTCATCTCTCATCTGGCCAGCTGGCTCCGCACCCGCCGCTTTAGCGAGCCTACTTTTCGACCCTCCGGAGCCCCAAATCATTGGAAAAACACAGTGTTTCGCGACTTTCCTACCTTTTCACGCATCTGCATTTTCTTTCTTCTTACTCTTCTTTCTTCTATTCTTTCTCTTCTCTCTGCCTCTTCCCTGCTCTGCTTTTCATCTGTCCATATTGTCGGAAGTTTGACTGTTTGACTTCTAAACTTCCTTCGAGAAATATCCATACATATTCATAGATCATAAAATAAAATTGTATGAAATAGAGAGAATGGGTTAAACATATATCTATATATATATATCACGAAAGCCAGCCGAAGGCCTGGGCTTGAGTATAGGTATAAGCGAAGCGAAGCGAAGCTAATCTAGGGGGTGTGGGGGGGGGAGGCCCGAAATCGGTCCGTTTTTGAAAGGTGAGGCCGGAGCCTGGGGGGGGAGAGCTCAAAAACCGACCTGCCGTTTGCCTGGTTTTTTGGGCCCGAACGAGATGCTCCATTTTGGACACTTGTTGGTGGTTTTCGACGGTTTTCATCGGGTTTCAAACGCCAAAACACTGTAATTTACGGTGTTTTTGTGCGTTTGGCCTGGCAAAAGTACGTCTTGCAACATGCTGAAAACTGTGTAAATACAACTGTTTTTGCTAGGTTCTGGCCATAAAACACTGTAAATACCGTGGTTTTTGGTTCCAGGAGCAAAAAGCCCCCGCAAATACCGTGGTTTTGGGCTTGCGAGGCGTCAAAAAAACACGGTTTTTACGGAGTTTTTTGCTCCGAGAATGTTCAAAAAACACGAAAACACCACCTATTTGACAATTTTTCGGCTTTACCTTGTTGGTGGTTCTTGACGGTTTTCATCAGGTTTCAAATGCCGAAACACTGTAATTTACGGTGTTTTTGTGCGTTTGGCCTGGCAAAAGTACGTCTTGCAACATGCTGAAAACTGCGTAAATACCACTGTTTTTGCTAGGTGCTGGCCATAAAACACTGTAAACACCGTGGTTTTTGGTTCCAGGAGCAAAAAAACACCGCAACTACCGTGGTTCTGGGCTTGCGAGGCATCAAAAAACACGTTTTTTTTTTAGGAGTTTTTTGCTCCGAGACTGTTCAAAAAACACGAAAACACCAACTATTTGACAATTTTTCGGCTTTACAAATGAAGGTAAAAAAAACATGCTGCAACGTCTCTGTGTGAAGATGTTTCTATGTAAAAGCGTCTCTGTGTAAAAGCGTTTCTCTGTAGATATATCTGTGTGTACAAGGCTCTGTGTGTACAAGCTTCTGTGTGTAAAAGGGTCTCTGTGTAAAAGCTTCTGTGTGTAAAAGCCTCTGTGTGTCAAAGCGTATGTATGTAAAAGTGTTTGTGTGTAAAAGCGTCTGTGTGTAAAAGGGTCTGTTTGCAACATTCTGTGTATGCGTAAAAGGGTCCGTGTGTAAAAAGGTTCGTGTTTAAAAGTGTCTGTGTGTAAAAAGGTCTGCGTGTAAAAGCATTTCTGTGTCAAGATGTTTGTGTGTCCAACAGTCTGTGTGCTACTACGACTCTGTGTAAAAGCCTTTCCGTGTAAAGATGTTTGTGTGTAAAAAGGTCTGTATGTATGTAAAAGCCTCTGTGTGTGAAAGCGTATGTGTGTAAAAGTGTTTGTGTGTAAAAGCGTCTGTGTGTAAAAGGGTCTGTGTGCAACATTCTGTGTATGCGTAAAAGGGTCGGTGTGTAGAAAGGTTTCTGTTTAAACGTGTCTGTGTGTAAAAAGGTCTCTGTGTAAAAGCATTTCTGTGTCAAGATGTTTGTGTGTCAAAAGCGTCTGTGTGTAAAGCTGTCCCTGCGTACACGGGTCTGTGTGTAAAAGCGTCTGTGTGTAAAAGCGTGTCTGTGTGAAGCTGTTTGTCTGTAAAAGCGTCTCTGTGTCAACGTGTTTCTGTGTAAAGCTCTTGCAAAAGGGTCTGTGTGTAAAAGCATCTGTGTGTCGAAGTAAAAAAGTGTCTGTGTGTAAAAGCGTTTGTGTGTGTAAAAACGTTTGTGTGTAGTCTGCAAGGGTCTGTGTGTAAAAGGGTCTATGTGTTTTTAGCTTCACAATACTGGGTCATAGCTTCCGTTTGCTTGCTGTTCGTTCTAAAATTGTATATGTAGCCGTTTCCCGTTCTTCCCAAAAGCGAAATGCAATAGCCGGCCGAATGGCCGCCAAATGGCAGAAAATTGCTTCCAACAGGTTTCTGCTCTGGATCTGGCTCCAAAAGGCTCCTGGCCAGGATTTGGCCTAAAACGGCCGGTTCCCCTTGAGCCCAGAAGGCACTTTTCGTTGCCGGCCCGCAAGCCGCGAAAGTCTTAAAAGCTGGGTCCAAAAGGCTTCGGCCAGGATTTGGCTAAAAACGGCCGTTTCCCCTTGATCCCAGAAGGCCCTTTTAGTTGCCGGCCCGCAAGCCGCGAAAGTCCCACAAGCTGGCTCCAAAAGGCTCCGGGCTTGCGAGGCGTCAGAAAACATGGTTTTTTTTTCCGGAGTTTTTTGCTCCGAGACTGTTCAAAAAACACGAAAACACCAACTATTTGACCATTTTTCGGCTTTACAAATGAAGGTAAAAAAACATGCCGCAACGTCTCTGTGTGAAGATGTTTCTATGTAAAAGCGTCTCTGTGTAAAAGCGTTTCTCTGTAGATATATCTGTGTGTACAAGGGTCTGTGTGTACAAGCTTCTGTGTGTAAAAGGGTCTCGTGTAAAAGCTTCTGTGTGTAAAAGCCTCTGTGTGTCAAAGCGTATGTATGTAAAAGTGTTTGTGTGTAAAAGCGTCTGTGTGTAAAAGGGTCTGTTTGCAACATTCTGTGTATGCGTAAAAGGGTCGGTGTGTAAAAAGGTTCGTGTTTAAAAGTGTCTGTGTGTAAAAAGGTCTGCGTGTAAAAGCATTTCTGTGTCAAGATGTTTGTGTGTCCAACAGTCTGTGTGCTACTACGACTCTGTGTAAAAGCCTTTCGGTGTAAGGATGTTTGTGTGTAAAAAGGTCTGTATGTAAAAGCCTTTGTGTGTAAAAGCGTATGTGTGTAAAAGTGTTTGTGTGTAAAAGCGCCTGTGTGTAAAAGGGTCTGTGTGCAACATTTTGTGTATGCGTAAAAGGGTCGGTGTGTAAAAAGGTTTCTGTGTAAAAGTGTCTGTGTGTAAAAAGGTCTCTGTGTAAAAGCATTTCTGTGTCAAGATGTTTATGTGTCAAAAAGTGTCTGTGCGAAAAAAACGTCTATGTCTCACGGCGTCTGTGTGTGCAAGGGTCTGTGTGTCAAAGGGTCTATGTGTAAAAGCGTCTGTGTGTAAAGCTGTCCCTGCGTACACGGGTCTGTGTGTGAAAGCGTCTGTGTGTCTGTGTGAAGCTGTTTGTCTGTAAAAGCGTCTCTGTGTCAACGTGTTTCTGTGTAAAGCTATTGTAAAGGGGTCTGTGTGTAAAAGCATCTGTGTGTCGAAGTAAAAAAGTGTCTGTGTGTAAAAGCGTTTGTGTGTAAAAACGTTTGTGTGTAGTCTGCAAGGGTCTGTGTGTAAAAGGGTCTATGTGTTTTTAGCTTCACAATGCTGGTTCATAGCTTCTGTTTGCTTGCTGTTCGTTCTAAAATTGTATATGTAGCCGTTTCCCGTTCTTCCCAAAAGCGAAATGCAATAGCCGGCCGAATGGCCGCCAAATGGCAGAAAATTGCTTCCAACAGGTTTCTGCTCTGGATCTGGCTCCAAAAGGCTCCTGGCCAGGATTTGGCCTAAAACGGCCGAGCTGGAGCTGATCTGGACGAAAGTATCGTGGAATGCTAACAACAGAGATACTTCAGCGCAGAGACCAAAAAAACCCATGAGCATTGCTTTGGGGGCTGGCTTTCGTCCCCCCCCTTCTCAGGTACGTATATATATATATATATATCATATAAAAATATATATAACAACATAAAATAGCGTATGATAGCATCTAGGCATCTTAAATTGTAGATGATGTAGTCACTTGATGATACAGATACAATTTTATTGTGTACTGTATACTTATATGGTGGCTTTCAATGATTTCAATGCTTAGGGTCATGTATAGGGTTGCAAAATGAAACTGCTCAAGCTGCTCTCATGTCTTTGTCGAACCATGCCAGATCCCTGCAGGTGCTGTGGATAGATCTGTCAGACTGCGTCCAAGTTGATGACACCTCTGCAATTCTGCTGCTGCAAAGACTGCCACCTACTCTCAAAGGCACCTAGGCCCGACCTAGATCTGCCTAGCCTTGATTTGCGAGCAGGAGCAGCATTGATTACCTATGATTACCTTATGTCTGGAGGGGCAAGGCTGCCATGATTTTCACCAGGTACTCGTAAACCAATATGCACCTTGCGTTTTTCTTGAAAAATCTTGAAAAATTCTTGAAAGCTGCTTATTGGGCTTGAAATGCCTTCGGGATGCTTTCAATTACAGGTGGATTGAAAGCTTCCGGGACACTGTAGAGTCTGCCAAGAAATGTTTATTGCATCTTATTGCACACTATTTAGGTTTGCCATGTGCCGAGGTGTGAAGATCAAGCTAACTGGCACTCGGGTCTCTCAGCCAATACAGAGGCGCGTTGATGAGTTGATGTGAGTTTTCCGTATTTTTCATGTTTCGCAATCTTGCTTGGATGTGTGTGTGTGTGCCTTTCGATTGACAAATGTTTGGCATTTATGTTTGATTCAGTTTCATGAGAGCATTCTCTTCGTCGTAGCCCCAATGAAACCCATTCAAATTGTGACTGACAAGCAGGAGACAAACGACGGCCAAGCGTACGTAGCAAAGCATTGAAGACTCGTTTTGAGCCAACCCTCACAATTAGAGAAGTGTTGCAGCATGTTGCAGCGCAAAGATACCACGTATGTAGTTCTAAGCTGTGTGGCGGCGTGTCTCCAAGGGCAGGCAGAAAGCTGGAGACGATTCGCCGGCTGCTCGAATCTCAAGAAAGGAAGCCTGGTTTGCTCGGTCTTCGACAGAAGAGCAACTTTTCAGCACCCGCGCTGTTTCCTGCTTCAATCATTTTCAATATTGATCCAGGCAAAAGGAAAGTGACTCAATAGATTCAATAGAGATCAGTAGAGATCAGTAGAGATCATTTGCTTCTATTAGCTACACTATGGTGTCTAGTTCCAACGCTGATTCTTGTTGGCAGATTGTGTGGAAATGTGTGAAACTTTCTTTGCGAAGACACAGATCATGGATCATGGATGACCACGCTGTTTATTCGAAAATTTAGCAATGACCAGGTCACCCAGGTTGAGGTTGCGTCGGAGAAGCTTTGCATTTTTATGGACCTATACTCACAAATGAAACAACGAATGGCTATAGCCAATCAAATCTCAAGAGCGGCCCAAAAGGGCCTATGGGATCTCAGTTGCAGAGGTTTTATGGGATATACAAATGCTCGGAAAGATCTTCAGAAACGTTTCCATTTGATTTAATTTGGGCAAAGTCCTTGGGGCAGCTGGTTCCAGAGGGATACCTCACAACTGTGCAAGAATTGCTTCATGTTTATTCATTTTTGGCATGCCCACAGAGTCATTTGAATCTGACTTTTCAGAGCAAAAGCACAGAAACTAAGTGCATTCAGGTCCGATGAGAAGTGCTGGCACTACGAACACCATTGAGCCTTTTCAGAGTTCACCCAATTTCTGCTCTGATTGACTGTTGATATCTGTTGATTCTAGTCCATTTGTTCCATTCTTGAGGCAGGGCCTAGCAAAGTCTCTATGAAGAAAGGTGTTCTTGCATTCTACTGTTTAGTTGGTCTTGATTGAACTTGCTTGATCTTGATTGTGCTTCATCCATTTTGCCTGGCATGCAAGCAAAGCCATATAAAGCCATGCAACAATACAGTATCATTTCTTGAGAGATGAAGGGACAAATATGAGCAAATGATGAGACCAGCGTGTGAGTAAATAAACCAAATCTCAGGACATGGCGGAATTCAAGTTTGCATCGTCAACCTATGCGCCGAATGCTTACACAGGCAAAGATTGATCATGGAAGGCGCATAGGTTTTTGCAAGTGCGCAGGTTTTGACACGTGATTGCGCATTTCACTGAGGTCCCAGACTCACTTTGCCCAACCTATGGAACAGTACAGGGCTGCTGCATCTGCCTGCGCAAAGCCTTGTGCTGGGCAAAGATCTCAGATTGCAGATGAAGGTCCAAGTGCTTTTGATGACTTTGACACATTTGTCCGTCAAGCAAATAGCACTCCACGACAATTTCGAAACAATCTCTGGCCTCTAGAAATAAGATGAAATGACCTGAGCTAACATGAAATAATCAACATCCTGTTCAGTGTGACCCTGAGTGTCCCTGAGTCAGTTATATGTTTGGCCAAGGTCTTCCATCCGCTTTCTTCTGTCGGTCACACAGAGATCTCAAGGCAAGGATTGAGGCTTCAAACCTGGCGACCTGAAACGAATTGAAACAAAGAAAAGACGGCCCTGAGGCACAACAGGTCGAATCAATGCTGACACGATTCGGCATGCCCAGTTTGATTTACCAGCTATGGTGGCCATGGTCTGAAGGTTCGGAGAACGCGAAGAACTCCAAAGGCCTCCTCGCAATGTCAAAGGCTGGGCTCCCCTCGGCATCGCATGCAGCAGATAGCAGATTATAGATGTGCATTAAGATGTGCATAAGATGTGCATGAGCATCACAGTGCATTCTGAATGACTTTGGAGACATCAGCAGCACGTGCACCATACATGCACCACTAATCCCTAATACAGAGCAAAAACTTCCCGTGGACGAATCATTCCACTGCTTCATACCTCCACCGTTACCACCGTTACCTTCCAAGATCTTCCAAGGCAGATTCAGTCACCAACACTAGCAATCGACGGTGCAAAACAGCTCCAGTGCCATGGTGGCAACAGTGTGGCATTTCCTTTGAATCATTGGACTCATCATTGGACGCATCATGGGACTCATAATGAATCATCATGAATTCTTATAGAATCATAAAGATCATAAAGAGGCTGGTCTATGTAGTCAAGAAATCACAAGAATTCATGCGGTTCTCATCTTTTCTGATTCCATGAAGTTACAAGCGCTCCACTGAGCTCCACTGAGCTCCACTCAAAAAGCCTGTTTTGATCAGTTTGATCTGTTTTGAGTTCAGAGAGCTGTGCGAGTCCAGGCTGCCTGGAAGAAGGATTCTGTCAAGCGATGCGCAACTTGTTTTTGAGGCAAGCCAAGTCTTGACAAGACAAACATAGAAATAACATGAAATATAACATGAAATAACTAGTAGAGAATAGTACGGACGTGTACAGACAACATGAATTCAACCCTAGCTTGTATGACATGCTTCCACAGTCTTTCATATCTTTCGTGACACGCTGACACGCCTGTGACTTTTGGTGCCACGGCGCAGGTTTCTCCGGAGATCATGTCCGCGTCAATTTGTTGGTTGTGAATGCACTGGAAAGTCAGATCAGTGTTTTGAAGCAAACATCAGCCTAGGCTTAAAGCCTATTCTGCTAATTTAGGCATTGCAGCGAAATGACGTCAAGCGTTTTCGTCGCCGAAGTCTGCAAGTTTGTTTTGACAGGTTCTGCCAAGCAGGTACCACTTTTTCACTCGGGGCCCTTCAGAGTCGGGCCATAGTTAGTTTAGCATGATGCAACAATGCTTGCGTGTTCAAAAAGCAGGCTCCAGTCGCAGATGTGCACATTGGCCACGTGCTAAAAACTGCTAAATTCTGCACTTCGCATATCTTGGCAGCTTGGCAGGCAATGAAACTGATGGTCCACAGATCCACCAAGAAGACTCCTGGGCCATTCAGCTGAAAGTTGGAGACGGCTGTGCTACACCATCATTTGCTGTGAAATCTCATGACAACGCTGATCTGTATAAGAGCGTTAAATCGTATTTAAGATATATGTAGCGATTATTCAAAACTCTGAACAACAAAAGTTTCTTTTGCATGCATGTTCCAATGTTCCAGGGGAATTGGCCCGAGGAATTCAATACTCTCAGATTCCTGCAAGTTGCAACATATCATGTCATGTCATGATATGATATGTTGCATCCATCTCCCACTTTTACCATGTTGTGACCATGCTTGAGGTCGTCATTGACAGTTTCTTCCAGGAGAAAGGTTTGGTTTTCCAGCAGCTTGGGTTTGGCGCTCACCAGGGCAACCCGCTACTGGACAGTAGCGAATAGTTGGCATGTGCTTATCAGCCTTGATACATGTATATATCATTTATATATCATTTATATATCATTTATATATCATTTATATATCATTTATATATCATTTATATATCATTTATATATCATTTATATATATATATATATTCATTTATATAGCGTACGTGCGTTTGCTGCCTCAGAGTGTGATTGGTGACGGAATAGACTTTTCCTCCCACTCAGAGCAGTCGGTTTGAGTTTTTTCAGGTCCTTTGATCAGTTCATTGTCTATGAAATGCAACGTGTGGTTGATGCGCCGATCTCAGCCATTCAGTAAATGTTGTCTTCATTCCACATGGGCTGATACTTGTATGGTTTTTCTACAAACTTCAACGCAATGGGTTTCAAGGTAGGGCAGGGCGACCAGGCCCATTCACAAAGATACCGCAAGAAAGATCAAGAAAGCTTCTGGAAAGAAGTGAAAGTGAAAACAATCTTGGTGCACGCGAGCTTGTTCCTTCTTGAGCTCTGGTGAAACGTGTGTTTGCTGGACTGAATTCTTTGAGGCTCAGACACCTATCGAGTGCACGCCACAGGAGCAGTACAATCCGGAAGAGAATGTGGCGACTCGGTTGATTTAGCTGGATACTGGAGTGAACGACGATATTCAGGACTTTTTCTCAGACCTTTCTTCCCCCCTCAAACTTCCGGGTGATTGTGTTCACGTTGCATGTCATTGCATGCACATGCACATGGGTGCACGTATCATCAATGATTAATAATACGCTGCTACATACAACACATTATATACTATATTAACATATTATACAATATTATACATACATAAATTATTGTTATTGTTATTATTATTATTTATTTATTATTATTATGTTTTTTATTTATTTATTTATTCATTTATTTATTATTATTGTTATTATTATTATTTATCATTGTTATTTTTTTTTATTATTATAATTATATATATATATTGATGCAGAGCGTATATTTACATGTACGTACATATATAATTAGTGGCTCATTTGTTTATTAATTTTGCCATGATAATCATATGCAAAGGGAAACTATCATTCTCAAACCATCATTGTTTATCACAAGTGTGAGTTTGACCTGTCTAATGTATATTTTGTATAGCCAAGTGATCACATGCCCCCGTTGACATTTGGCTTTAGGGCCCTTGAGTCATACCGCGCTGCCGTGGTAAAAGTTGGGCATTTGACGATCCCGTTTCCAATTCATATTGGTAGCGGAGCAGGTGACGACCTGCATCCGGTGGTACGTCAGTGACCCAGGGAACCCTTTGTGAATTTGAGTCTGGTAACTTTGGGAACCAACTGAACTTCGAGTGTGTCGTGGTTCGGGAATCTGTCTGACCCTGACCAGGGCAGACACTTGTTAACGTTTTTCCTTGTTCGACTCCGAACGGAGCGAGCACCATGTCGATCAATGGCCTTCGTTTCAATCAGGAACGCCATTCGTCGGCACCACTTGAGACGAAGAGTGGATCATACATCTATGCAGGTGATGCGGCGAACTTTCATGATTGGCAGTTCAGGACTCTCCTTCGGATTCGTCTTTATGAGCAACAATTGGAGGAGGAGACAAGTAAGCCTGCGGATCCCGTTGAGACCACAGCAACAGAGCCTGCCGCAGAAGACGCAGATGAGTATGTTACTTTTCCAGATTTGTCGGGTGCTACTCAAGCAGCCCAGCCTACATCAGCAGTCTCGACTCCGAAGTCTGGAGCGAGCCGAAAATCCTCGAAGTCCGGCAAGCAGAAGACAGACATTGATCGTGGACCATTGGTCAACAAGGTGATTGAAGGACTGAGAGGAGATGCTTTCTCAATAGCTAGGGATCTTGGACTTGAAGTGTTGTCCAAACCTGGTGGCCTTGTGAAACTTGTGGGTGAGATCAAATCCCATGTGTTTCCAAGAGCCCGTGAGGAAGCCAAGGAATTATTTCGAGCAGGACAGAAGCAAGGTGGTCCTTTGTCTCGCCAACCAGGCGAACCCATGCATGCTTTCCTATGTTCAGAGGAGACGACGTTGGTGGCACATGCTATGCGAGTTGGATGACACAATGGTGTTTTCGGACAGCTTGAGGACAGAGTTGATGTTGGAGTTGAGTGGGCTCAATCGACAAGAGATCCTCGTTGTGAAGGCCTGCGCAGACACTAAGGATTTTGAAGGTGTTGGCAAGGTGCTGATCGAGAACTACAGTGGCACTCACTTGCGAGAAGGGTCACGATCCTGAACAGGACGTGGCAATCCTCAACAGCTTGGCAAATCGACAGGCAAGGGTTATGGCAAAGGCAAACCTTCTTCGAAGGGATCGTATTCCCAAGCAGCTTATGCAGCCTACCCCGATGATGGGGAGGATCATGCAGAATCTTGGGATGAAACTGCGAATCAATCCTGGGAGGATGATTCATATGTTGGTATGCTTGGTGACATTGCAGAAGAGGAGCCAGGAAACCTAGAAGGTGACAACGAATTTGATTACCTTGACGACGTCGATGAGTACGAAGCAGTTGCATTGAACAGCTTGCTTGAAGTTGAAGGTGCAGAAGACGATCGACAAGCAGGAGACGCCATCCAGCTACAACTTGCTGCTTTCACCGCAATGGGGAAAGCAGGTGGCAAGGGCAAATCCTTCGGGAAGCCCAAAGGAAAGGGGAAAGGAAAGATCGTGAAGTCCAACCTCACGATCGATCAGAGAAGACGGAAGCTCACAGAGCTGAAGTCGAAGAGCAAATGTTTGAGATGCGGAGTCATAGGGCACTGGGCCGGTGACCCGGAATGTAAATTCCCAGGGTCGAAAGCCGGAGCCCCTGGAAAGTCAGCCCCAAAGCCCGCAGCTCACTTTGCCGACATGAGCGATTCTTCAGATGACGATGGTGTGACTTTGACAGCTTCACCTGATCGTGACAGAGATGGAGTTGCTATGATGGCAGTTCGACAAGCGAAGCCCAGCAGTCGACCTTCACGTGCAGCAGCATCCAGCAGCAACGTTGGCTTGATTTCCCGGGATCTCGATGTTGCAATGAGACCCGAGGACCATGGGTGCATCTTTCCTGTTGGACAGTTCAAGGGTTTGTCTTTTTGGAATGTGTTGTTTGAACAGACAGGGTACTATCATCATGCCAAGAAACATACCCCCAAGAGTCCATACTATGTCACATGGTTGAATTGGGTTGACAAATACTTTGTGGTTGGTGCTGATGGGATTCACTTGCGCGAAGTCCCTGTTGAGCATGTCGAGCACCGAGATTTGTTGGTGGCTCGGGGAACTGGCAGAAAGAAACCCCCAAATCCTCCTTTGCCGAACAAGTGTCAGGAATGTCGTGAGTTTACAAAACAAGGTTCTACGGGGTACACCATCAGGAAGACCTGCCTTGTGTGCGGTCATTCCGAAACAACAAGGCGTGACATGGTACCGTTGATGTCCCCTGAGAATTGCCCTCATGATGACACCGATTTTAGGGGATCCAGCAAATCAACACACCGTACTTTCTGCAAGAAGTGTTGCACTTTCATTGATGAAGCTCCTATGCAGATTCGCAAGGAGCGTGTTGCCATTGCCAAGAAGGTTGAAACAGCATCAGTTCGAACAGTCCCCATTGTTGAATCATTGGTTGAAGAATCGGATGGATTGAATCCAGTCCAGTTGGAAGAGTTGTTACCCTTGTTTGCCACTCTTGTTACCGAAACCTGCCAATCTGAGGTGGTGACCCGTGCACGACTTCATGAACTACTGCATCAAGCCATCAATGACGTGACAGAGGAAGAGGACAGTTTTTCTCTTGTCAATGAAGATGGGCACGGCGACCCCTCGGGCAGGGAGTTAGCTGGGTACGTTGGCATTTGTTTGCATGGAAGTGACACTCAATACCCTCAAGACTTGGTTTACATGAACTATGAAACTGTTGACATTGCCAAGTCACCCCATGTTTTTGCAGTATTGGATGAAGGTTGCAACAGCACTTGTCATAGCAAAGCCTGGGCAGTCGATGCAGAAGCACGACTGGCCCGACTGGGTTACAGCATGCCATTGAAGGATGACGGTTGTAAGAGTTTTGCTGGTCTGGGAAGTGGTAGTACCAAGACCGAAGGTGTGAAATCTATTCCTTTTTCGCTGCTGCTTCCAGACGGGAACATGCATGGGGAGTTGGATTCATATCAATTGTCAACAGGCAACAGCCCATTGCTTCTTTCATTGCATGCGCAAACCAAGTTAGGCCTAGTGAAGGACCTAGCAAAAGGGGTGATTTCCATCAAAGATCAACCATTGAATATCAAGAGATGTTCCAAATCAGGTTTACTTGTGATGAACTTGACTGAAGGATTGACCAACATCAACAACACACCGTCGAATGAACTTCCCCAAATCCCAAAGTGTCACAGAAAGTACAACATCGCATACACAGCATCCACATCAGAAGTTGCCATGGCCGAGCATGACATGTGTGGTTTTCATTCGAGGGACTATGA